TTCGCTGAACGAATGATACCTCGAGATCTATCAGTTCACCAGAAGTGGTCTTCAGGGACGGATGCTAACATGGACAACTATCAGTTCACAAAGCGTGTTGTCTTAACTGAGCAGACAATACCCTGGACAACTATCAGTTAACCAAGAGTGTTGTCTTCACTGAGCGTACGATACCATCGCAAGCTACCAGCAGAAAATGTGTCTTGATAGCGGATGCTACACTTTAGACCTTTTAAGTTCACCATAAGTAGTTTTTTGCTGAGCAACTAATACCCGTGAGAGCTATCAGTTCACAATGAGTTGTCTTCACTGAACAGACAATACCCCTGTGAATCATCAGTTCATCAGAAGTTTTAACGGTATTGATCGAAATATTTCCATTGTAAACAATCAGTTCACCAAAAGTGGTGTCGTCACTGAGCGGATGATAACCTTTGCGATTCAGTACATTTATTTCGTATTTCTCATTAAGTTTTTGGCATTACTTCCGAAGCAAGCAAATATAAAAAGCAATAAAAAACAAGATCATCTCAGACAGCATAAAATAACATTAATAAGTTTACTTAGTGAGTTTTTATTTTGACTTCCTAGGCTTGCTGTTTATGTTAGGTACCTGTACATTTCGTTGTGGTTATTCGATTCTTCAGAGGACGATATATCTTCACATTTTGCATGAACGTAAATGCAAAACGAAGTGTAAGCTGTCGTATTCTTGGTTTTTCAATACCAATGATCGATTTCGACTAGTTGGTTAAGCAATGAAGAAGAATTTTTATTATATATTTCCCATAGATGTAACACCAAGTTCACCACTTCATATCAAAAAGTTTTATTGGAAAAGCTTTTAACAATTTGAAAAATCATCAGCACATGAAAATTTCTGACACATTTCTGTTTAATGATGTCCCCTTGGACTTCAGAGTTAATTTGCGGCGGCCATTCTAAATAGCCAAATGGTATCACAGATCTAGAGATCGGTAAAGATTTTTCATCTTTTTTAATTCTTGATATACATTTGTAACGGTTCCAAAGGTAAAAATATTTGTGTACCATTTCAATTGTAAAAATTTGTGTACAATTTCAATGGCTTCAATTCTATTCCCGGCTGGTTAACAGTGGTTTATCGATATACACCAAAGTAAACACAGTTGCTGTTGTCCACTAAATTTGCCTTTTAAGACCAAGCCCCCTCCCTTCCCCCATTATACTCAAACTATGTGACCGGTATAACAGTATTAACACTCAATCATAGAACACTAGTAGTAGCCTCTTAATCATTTTTGTTTGATTTAATTCCTGAATTATTATAGTAAAATAATCATTTAGGCTTCAGTCAAACAGATCGATCATATGTGCTCTCTGGTTGAAAAGAAACAACTTTGATCTAACTAGCATAAAAACATAATTTTCTTTCAAGTTTGGTGTCATTCAAGTTGCTGTAGTTATATGTGTACGATGGGTGGGTAACACACGACAAGTGATGACAGAAGATCGCATGCCATTTGTCTAAGCGACCTAAAACACCAAAAACCCACGATCATTGCTATTGACTACAATTCTAAATTCATTGTAAACTTTTAATTATTTCAACCCATAAATGTTTGACTAACGAATGTTCTTTTCAATCATGTCGGTCACTCTTGAATGAAAAAAAAATGAAATGACGTATACTCTATACATCTTTTATTCATATCAAACTAGCGCAATATTGTTCGTTAAACGTAATAAGTAAACCGTATCTTCAGTGGTAATTGTTGTTAAATACGGTTAATGTATGGGAAAATATAACCCTGATATACATAGATACTTAGCTACGTTGCAAATGTTTTCAATAAAGAGATTATTTCTGTCATTCATACTTCCTTATCGACAATTCTGTGTTCTGCTTTACTTACTAGCTTGCTCATCTTTAATGCAACTTATTTTTTCCAGCCAAAGACTTGCTATCCAAATCTGATTATTTTCCCATCTGTTAGGTTTTGTATTTGTTTATGGTATTGTTCCACTCCATGGATGGACTTTATGTTTCTATGACAGTTCTCTTTTCTGGTTGCCCATTTTACTTCTAAAAAAAATAGAGGCTCTAAAGAGCCTGTGTCGCTCACCTTGGTCTATGTGCATATTCAACAGAGGACACTCTCCAACATTGTAGACAAGAATAGAATTCATGACAAACATCTGTTTTGTTGATCTTGTATTGCTGATCATTTAGCCTGTTAAGTTTCTCTCTATCTTCTTTAGTTTTTGCTCAAAACACAATAGAGGATAAAAAAAATCCTCATTTAAGGGCAATCACTCCTATAAAGAGTGACAGTCTACTAAACTATATCGGCAAAATTTGACTTGTTAGTAGATCTTGACTTGCTGATCATTTTTGTGATTTAAAGTGTATCTTTATCTGTTATAATTTTCTATTATATATGGCAAAACGCAAAAAAAAGGGTGAAAAAATCGTCTTTAAAGGGCAATTACTCCAATAAGGAGTCGTCTGATCATTTCCTCCATATTGTCTTCATTGTAGATTTTTTTTTTGCTGATCATTTTTGCCTAGCTAAGTTTCTATCTGTCAATTATAATTTTAAGATATAAGGCAAAAACGCAAAAAATTGGTCAAAATCATCATCAAAGGGCAATAACTCTAATAAGGAGTCGATTGACGATTTCGACCATGTTGACCTATTTGAAGAACTTGTCTTGCTGATCATTTTAAAGTTTCTCTCTATCTATTATAGTTTTCAATTTAGTAGGCAAAAATGAAAAAAAAATGGTTAAATTTGTCATTTAAGGGCAATAACTCCTAAAAGAAGTCATCTGACAGTTTTGACATGTATGGACAATTGGTAGAGCTCAACATTCTGAACATTTTTTTTTGGTCAAATTTTCCCTCTTTATAATGGTTTTCAAAATAATAGACAAAACTTGCATTTTTCCCCCTATGTTCTATTTTTAGTCATGTTGGCCATCTTGGTTGGCAGGCGGGGTCATTGGACACAATTTTTTAAATTAGATACCCCAATGATGATTGTGGCCAATTGTGATTAAATTTGGCAAAGTAGTTTCAGAGGAGAAGATTTTTGTAAAAGATTACAATAATTAAACAAAAAGTGTTAAAAGCTGACTATAAAGAGCAATAACTCCTTGAGGGATCAATTGACAATTTTGGTCCTGTTGACTTATTTGTAGATCTTACTTTGCTGAACATTATTGCTGTTGACAGTTTATCTCTATCTATGATAAATAAATATTCAAGATAATAACCAAAAACTGCAAAATTTCCGTAAAATTACCAATTCAAGGGCAGCAACCCTACAACAGTTTGTCTGATTCGTCTGAAAATTTCAAGGAATATATATCTAAACCTGATGAACATTTTTACCCATGTCAGATTTGCTTTAAATGCTTTTCCTTTTTCACCACGAATGTGACCTACCGAATTAGACTATTAAACGGATTTGTAATAACATGAGCAACACGACGGATGCCACATGTGGAGCAGGATCTGCTTACCCTTCCGGAGCACCTGAGATCACCCCCAGTTTTTGGTGGGGTTCGTGTTGCTTAGTCTTTAGTTTTCTATGTTGTGTCTTGTGTACTATTATTTGTCTGTTTGTCTTTTTATTTTTTGGCCATGGCGTTGTCGGTTTGTTTTCGATCTATGAGTTTGGCTGTCCCTCTAGTATCTTTCGCCCCTCTTTTTAGTCTCAGAGATATAAGCCAAAAACTGCATTTTACCCCTATGTTCTATTTTTAGCCATGTAGGCCATGTTGGTTGGCAAGTGGGGTCATCGGACACATTTCTCAAACTAGATACCCCAATGATGATTGTGACTAAGTTTGGTTTAATTTGGCCCAGTAGTTTCAGAGGAGAAGATTTTTGTAAAAGTTAACGACGACAGACGACGCCGGACGCCGGACGCCAAGTGATGAGAAAAGCTCACTTGGTCCTTTGGTCCATGTGAGCTAAAAATGTATATTCACTGAACCATAAGGCATAACTATTTTTTCTTGAGTAAAAGTTTCGAAGGCAATGAACCATGACTGAGGAGGGAGATCCACACTATTTCTATGGAAATGAGAAATGCAAATACTTATACAACTGCATGCCAAATATCATTGACTTACCATTAGTGGTTCATCTTAAACAGACTTAATAATGCTTATACAATTACATACCAAATTTCATTTACCTACTACTAATGGTTTCCCTTAAACTGACTTTATCAAATACTACACATAACATTTGTCCTTTAACAGAATATGGAGCAGGTACAACATGTAAATGGGGTGTAAAACAAATTCTTGTATAAATTCACATAAAAGGGCATGTAGATTTTTGTTCATGGAGTAGGAAAATATACACCAATGCTGCAATTACTGGAAACTTAGGTATAACACCTATTTGTAATAAGCAGTGGAAAAGTATTATTCGTTTATGACATGAGATTAAATGCAAAAAATCGTAAGTGGGCTGACAATATGAGTTAAAAGCATAAGTGAGTTGAAAACTAAAACTTTTTAACTAGGAAAACCTTCTTTGAACTGAATTTAAGTCATTTACTGTGTCCTGAAAATATGATCACTAATCATAATGTAAAACTTTTTATATCAAAATTATTGCACGATATTCATGTCGATTATTGGCATGCTGTTTTATATTCTGATAAATCTCTATCGGATAGAGGTGGCAAAAAGCTACGAATGTACAAATTTTTCAAAGAAAATTTTGAACCCGAAAAATATTGTTAAATAGCTTTGCCTTTAACTCATAGAAGCGCTTTCGTCAAATCTAGATGTGGTGTAGCCTCGATGAGGATTGATACTTGGAGGTATAGTTTTAGAAAAATGAGTATGACATATATGTGATGGTTTTATTGAGATGTCCTATTTATGACGATTTTAGAAACCATTTATATTATGCTGCTGAAACTTTTAATGAAAATTTTAATACTTTAGATGACAACCAAAAACTAGTGTTTTATTCTCAGATGGTAATATGATACGTGTGTGTGCTAAAATCTTTTTTATTTATTGTAAACAGTACATTATTTTATTCTGTTTAATTTGGTATATATATATATATATTAATTGTATCTTATAAGTCTGTATAGAATGGCTCTCATTTTATATAGTATTGTGTTACAATGTGTAAATATCGATTGTACTTATTGAGATATGAGACTCTAATAAAACATTGAATTCTAATACAGTGTTGACGCTGCCGCACCAAATCCTTTTTTTTTTTCATTTTTCTTGCACTGAGTCGAAATCACTGCTGGTGGACTGCAAGTTTATAATTTTTGTTGTTTACCCTTTTTCGTTAGCTATCTGATAATTGAATAATATCAGAACAAAATATACGCTATTCAGTTAATCCGGAGTTATTCGGCTATAAGCGGTATTCTTTACAAGTCATATATTTATCAAAATAACAACGAAACTAATAAGCATAACAAATTCAGACAATGCTGAATATTCTTTGTCGTTTGCGTCGTTTGGCTGATTCCAGTCTGTGCGTTTCTTGTGATAATATTGACTTGGCTGATCTATTGATAGTAACTATTTTGTCTACTAGTCTTGGTAACAGCGAAACACGGCTAGAACTTGGAGATGGAGATTCTTTCCTACTAGATAACATGTTAGAGGAACTCATTATTCGGGCGAAGTTTTTACCCGCCACAGTTTTATACATTGTTAGTCCCTTCACGTCTGGGGGTTTAACTTCCCCTAAGTCTGATTTTAGGAAATTTTTGCGATGCTCTTGCTTTTTCACTTCAATTGTTTCTTGGCGCCTATCTTCTTTTTTCTCTTCTCTCATATGATTTCGTACTCCATTGGACAATATGCTACAAATTAAATACATTTATAAGACATTACAAAATCCATGGAAAAATGTTTGAAAAGTTCGCATACAAAAAAAAAAGAACTGAGGTCATAGCCAACACCACACATCTGATTAACTATATGCATACCAAGACAATGACAAACCAACGTTTGCTTTTTATTTTGACATGGTATAATCGCTTTTTTTCTACTTATTTTTTATTGTCCTTTAGGTATCTTCTGCCTTTTTATAATAATCGATACTTTCAATAATTTTAATTTAAGACTAAAATAAGATGAATCAAATTTTTCATGTTTATTATATTTCAAGCATATTATTCCAGAAATATTTCAAAGTTGTATGCTAAGTCCTATTTCATTGTTAGCGTCATGGCAACAAAAAAGTGTATAAACTTTTTTTTGTCGTCAGTATTCTGAAGTGCTTTACAAATAAAATAAATTCTGCGAGTGTCAACAAAATTTTTGAACATTTTATTGGAATAATAAGTAATAAAGTTTATTTTTACGGAGTTTATTTATGTGTTAACACGGTCTTTATACTCATAAACGTAGCTTAAAATCTTTCGAATTTTAATCAGTTTATAAGTCCTTCGGATTTATTCAGTTTGTGAGTAAGTCGCTTGGTCGAGTTTAAACACAAATAAACGCATTCACCATTTCATTTGTTGATATAATAACTTTTCAAATGAATTGAACTTTATATTGTACGTTTGTATTCATCAGAATAAACAAAGAGCATTGCATATTTAAAGAGTAAGAATCATTGTTAATACTGTTTTATTTACCTGTAACTGATTTCTCCTTTTCGAGCAAGTCTTTTTGCAACTAACTCAATTTCTCTATCACTTAGTGGAGCTCCTACTTTCTAGAAAAAAAATTGTTGTTCATGTTAAATCGGATAAATAATTCAATAGAATGATAAGTATTAGAGGCAATGTGCAAAAAAAACTATGAAATGAAGGCTGGAGTATGATTAATTTAATGAGTTTATATTTCTCGCCAAGGTAACATATTGTAATAGTTGAAACTATGTCATAATAAAGAGTTAACACCATTTGTGATAATTCCACAATTAAAATCTCCATATATGACAGTACCATTTTTACTGCACTAAATGCTCATTTCGACTATAAATGTCTCTTCGGTGATGCTCGATGACAAAATGTTTGAAAATCCAAAACCTTTTTCAAAAAAGGAGAGCTGAAAAAAGGGACATGAATAGCGAAAGCCAGGCAAGGAATAAGGGCTTTGCATGAGGAGAGAATATTCCTTAATTTAAAATACTTTTCAAAATTATGTTACAGCAAATTTCAATACTACAATATCCGTATTATCATGAAACTGCCAAAGTACTGACTACTGGGCAGGTTATTACCTCCTGAACTACCATTAGTAGAGGTAGAAGTTAAAACATTTAAACTAAACATTATGTAGTACTTCATCAGATTTATAACTTTGGTACTAAATGTCAAATTTTATCATTTAGTCACATTGACATTTTAACAGACAGAAATATAATTGACGACTTCCGTGCAAAAGAGAGACATGAGGATGATAAAATAATTAAAAAAATGTTCCAGTAAAAAAAAAGAATAAAAAAGGATAATAAAAATTAACATATTAGAAATTATGTATTTAAAATGCACGAATTTTGTTAATAATAGATGCGAAAGATACCAAAGGGATCAACAAACTCGTAAGTCGAAAACAAACTGACAATGCCATGGCAAAAAAAACCCCGAAAAACGACCAAAAGACAAACAACAGTATGCAAAACACAACAAAGAAAACTAACGATTGATCAACACGAACTTTGATAAGTTGATACTCCTTTTAAATTTTCGTAAGTAACTGGATCCCGAGTTAAGATCTAAAAAAAGTTTTATCTTTGACAGATGTTTACGTGCCTATCCCACTTCATGTGGTTGTCTTATGTCATAACTTTATTATATGATATCTAAAGTAAAACTTATTTGGATTTTTCTAACCCCATTTTAATACGCCATTTGAAATTTTTTAGACTTAAAAAAAAATTGTTTTGTCGATAGCCAATAACAATCATAATAAAGGTTAGCAAATAGTCATCCGATTTCATCGTAATGCTAATTTTGCAAAAGATCCTGCACGTTGTTTTCAATATTACCTCACAATCTTTTCGTCATTGTATGTTTTTTCTTGGTAAATGGGAGATAAGTACGACGTGAAGCTGTTAAAAATCCCATTTAAATACAGTATGGATATGTCTTATAAACCCGATACTTTGGTTTTAGTAATGCCGTTTCTTCGGACATCTGTAACGGATATTTCTGGTAAATGGAGTGTAAAGCTAAATACATATCTAGTTACTCATTGCAAAATTATTACATTTATTACACGTCGCTTTCTCAGTATAGTCCAATTTTTAAAAGATTTATTGAGCTCGAACAGTGCCACCTGCATATTTGTCAATAAATGATGTAAAGGCACCATTATCTAAAATTCTGACTAAAAATAGCAGGGAACTTTTTGCCAACTGCAATTTTATTTCAATTCCGTTGGTCTTTATGCTATGATTTACCAATTTGTCAAAAAAAGTAAATAAAACAAAACGAAAACAAGTATTAATCTTAACATGGTAACCATCTTACCTTTTATCCGAATTTTATATATACTATAAATGACTTACATAATTATTGATACTTACTTTGTGGTCCGTTTATAGAATAGAACAAATTGTTGTTCTTAAAGTATAAAAGCCCTTTTTGTTCAATCGGATAAAAAAAATTGGCAAAATGGTCACTTCTATTTGACCTTACCAAAAAGACCAATGTTAGGAATTCCTGTTGTTATGAAATACTGCTTATTCTTCCTATCACTGAGTTTAGCCCTTTTTATTTTAATTCGTGTGGCAAAGTTACTCATCTAAAATCAGTCTTACTTATTTGTTTTTCTACTGTTTGTTTTTCTTTTTATAAAACTGTTCATTTAATCGTGGTATATTGTGTTCATTTATCCGACTATATGATTTTTAATTTCTGATTGTCATCTTCCCATTTCTCAGCAGTAACAGGTCCTCTACTCCATCGTATGGCGTTTATATACGAACTCCATTAACAGGGGTGTGCTTCTTATACACAAACAACTCCAACAGAGTTATGAGAAGAACGACTGAAATCGACACTTTTAGAGTCGCGATTTCTGTGTGTTACCTAGATTTGTTTTCTTCCTAACCGATTTACGAGATTTGAGCTTCGGTAAACTACTGTCGACTTTATTTATTTGCATTTTGTATCCACTACTCCTCAACAACAAATGACTGGATTTTTATGAAACTCTCAACAGTTTTACTTACATATACATGAACGCTAAATCATTTTAAAAAATAAACATTGGCAGCTATACATAATTGTGAATCTAAATAAACACGTTATTGAGAAATTACCTTTACCCCTCTAATAAAGTTATCTTTTGATACTGCAGATTGTGCACCACTTTCGGAAATGCGAAATAAGTCCAATATCCGGATACCCATCATCCCCATAAATCGTATCAACAATGTGAAGGGATCCTCCCTTTTCTCTGAAAACAAAACAAACCATATTTTATAAAGTATTCCTTCTGATTATTATTAATTTTCTTGTTATTGACAATTTTGAAATGTTTTATAGAAAACTATATACTAATATTGGCAAATTAGTAAGAGACTATGAAACTGGATTAATACAATCTCAAAAACATCTCAATTACATTTTCGGATATCGTTCCTATATACTTTCAGATTTTAACATGAATTTGATCTATAAAAGTATGTACAACAATCTCATATGAATTGTAAAGTGTTCAATTGCATTGTTTCATTGCCAATAATTAATAAATTTTTGTGGGTGGCAATAACTGTGAAATATAATAAATGGTACGTGCTCATTATTGTGATCATATATATATATTTACAAAAAGAACATTTGCTAGAATAGCCATTCCGAGAGAGAAAAAAACTTGGATGAATTGAATGTAAGATTATATATTGAGAGGAGTTATATATACCTTCCTTGAAATTCAATATGATAAGAATCTCCTATATTCCTGGTTATTTTTTTTTTTAATTCAAAGATACTAGGTTTATAATTTAGTATACCACATTTCGTCTACATCAGACACATCAGTGGCGCTATAATCAAAACAGTTGGAGAACCTACTCAAATACGATGTTGAATAACATTAAAACCGAAAATTCCAAACAGTTGGGCCAAATACAACTAAGTAAATATATGAATGGTGCTAGAAAAAATAAGCGATTCGAATAATCCAACATTTCATAAACAGTAAACTGAAAATGTAGTATTATGTTTTTTGTTTATTTGCATACGGAAGTAGTTAGATTTCTATGTCTCACCATCAGACTTCGTGAATACTCATCTGGAAGGGCAAAAACTAATATCAGTCTTCGGAAATTACTTGGAAAGGCTGTATAATATATATTGATAAGTAATAAGGTTACGTGCAATAAATACAGGTTTTATGTGCTTAAGTCTATCATTTCTACCTTATAAATCTTCGTGTTGTATAGCTTTATATGACGTAGGCTATCAGTACTATATATTTACATTACATGTAATTTGAATATAAAGATATGCAAAATTCGCATTCGATAATCATGGCTGCCAAATGACAATGTTTAATGTAGTAATTCGTTAATCTTATATACGATAAAGTTTGCATTATTGCAAGATGAAGATATCAACAAGATTTGTTTATGGATTTTTTAAAAGAGGGGCGAAAGATACCAAAGGGACATTCAATCTCATAAGTCAAAAAATAAATTGACAACGCTAGGGCAAAAAAAGACCAACAGATAAACATGAACCTCACCAAAAGCCGGGGGTGATCTCAGGTGCTCTAAAGGGTAAGCAGATCATACTCCGCATAAGGCAATCGTTATGTTGCTCATGTAACTACAAACACAGTGATAAGTCTAATTCGGTAGTTCAAATTCGGATAAAAGATGACAGGGGTGTGTTTACGACAATCGGAACATAACCGTCGTCATCTGTGAAACAGATATTCCATAACGATCAACCAACTCGTGATGGCGTCCGTAAAATTTGCGAAGTGATTAAAACAATTACCAGACGATTTTACTGCTTTCAACGCATGTTTTGGGATCACCATTTATTATAAACGCATTGACGACTGGGATCAATTTAACGTAGAGCTACATATGGACGATGTGGTCATCATAAAAGGTCATTATAAAGATTGACCGAATCATTGGAGCACCACTACTACATTTAGTTAATAAATAAAGATGTAATGCATAAAATGAATGTTCAGTATCATCCCCACTCCGATTCAAACGGGAAACAATGAATTAAAGACTTGAATGACTTGGTCGTAATAAGTATGGTTTGTAATTCTAAAAAGTAACATTATTGGTATCGAAACTTATCCTTAATTCATTTAAATGTATGATTAAGGGAACAATGTTTTTCATGGTGGAGAGTAGAGGTGATATTGGATCTACTGATTTATCCTAATTAGCAAAATAAATGAAAAGGAAAGTCAATTTAATCAAAATATTTGAGACAAACAAAAATTCTCTTAATGAATATTCAAAATTAAGTACAATTTTTAATATCAAATGTATATATCTATTCAATCTAGATACATGTAATCCCAACTCGTGTATATTTTTTTACATTATTGTCCTTTGTTCTCTGGTATATAAGTGTCTCACTGGCAATCATACCACATAATTTCAAACTGGTACATATGTTTCCTCTGGGAAAGAGATGGATTGAATTAGCCAAACAACCTCTTTTCAAACCAGCATCTGCAGTTTCTCCCGTTCAAGCTTTGCACTGAAGTCACAAACATCATAAATAAAAAAAAGTTACCACGAACCAATGTGATTAAATTAATACAGCACAATCAAAGACTAAAGAACTTTATAGCACTGATAAAAATGATAGATATACTATGTGCATGAAATTGATCGAACAGAGGAGATTCATATAATTGTAGAACGCCAAGACAGTTACTTATAAAACGATTGACGAGCTCAGTGATATCCCCATTCCTTAACATGACACTGTATTTAAAAAAAAACCTTACCCTACAATCGACAATCCTCGATAGAAACTCAATGATAAATCAACAGATGAGTTGCAGTTAACAGTAAGAGCTGGTTTGACTTTTGCAATGAAAGCTGTAGTTTGCGTACATTATACAACAAATCGTTCACATTATTATAATCCTTTCAGTAATTTTAAAGGAGAATGATGCCTCGACACCCTTTACAAACTAAATTAAGAATACATTTGATGCACTGCTGAATATTATACATTTGAAACAAATGCAGAATTTGATTTTTCTAACTAGGGATGACACAAACAAGTAGCAAACAAATTATCGGGTTCCACGAGAAAGAATTTTGTGATTACATTCTATCCTAAAACGTGACCACAATATACATGAATGGGAAATACAAACTACCGTGTTACGCAATAACAGAAAGTCTTTTTTCATTTTGCCCAACATTTTGGCAAGACAGTGATTTTTTTAGGTCATATATCTCCTCTTGTATTCAGGATGCATAGATCCTATTTCAATGTTTGAAGTTTGAACGTTCCCGATGGATGTAAATCCAGAAATATCCCCGCATGCACCAAATTTAGAAAGTGTTATTTTCATTTGAGTGTTTCAACCTCGCCATTACTTTCGAACCAAATTATTTGCGAAACCTATGCTATTTGATCGATGAAATTAAGTCCAATTATATCGTACTAATATTTTGTATATCAAATACTAGTAATCTGAAAGTAAGAAGTTAATGCTGAAAATATGTAATGCATGCATCAATCAGCATTCAAGTATGAAAAACAACAACAAACAACGAAAAAAGCTTACTGTGAATGACGCTTAAAGTACTTATATATTTTGGCCCTGAAAGTTTACACATTATTCATTTAAATATCACACTGAAGACAAAGCAATTGGTAAAATGAATATATAGTCAACAAATAAGCAATTGAATAATAAACTAAATTAACTAATAAACAAACGGTCTACCTGGTATGTGTTTCGAGTTCAGTTTACGTCTACATCAGACACATCAGTGGCGCTATAATCAAAACAGTTGGAGAACCTACTCAAATACGATGTTGAATAACATTAAAACCGAAAATTCCAAACAGTTGGGCCAAATACAACTAAGTAAATATATGAATGGTGCTAGAAAAAATAAGCGATTCGAATAATCCAACATTTCATAAACAGTAAACTGAAAATGTAGTATTATGTTTTTTGTTTATTTGCATACGGAAGTAGTTAGATTTCTATGTCTCACCATCAGACTTCGTGAATACTCATCTGGAAGGGCAAAAACTAATATCAGTCTTCGGAAATTACTTGGAAAGGCTGTATAATATATATTGATAAGTAATAAGGTTACGTGCAATAAATACAGGTTTTATGTGCTTAAGTCTATCATTTCTACCTTATAAATCTTCGTGTTGTATAGCTTTATATGACGTAGGCTATCAGTACTATATATTTACATTACATGTAATTTGAATATAAAGATATGCAAAATTCGCATTCGATAATCATGGCTGCCAAATGACAATGTTTAATGTAGTAATTCGTTAATCTTATATACGATAAAGTTTGCATTATTGCAAGATGAAGATATCAACAAGATTTGTTTATGGATTTTTTAAAAGAGGGGCGAAAGATACCAAAGGGACATTCAATCTCATAAGTCAAAAAATAAATTGACAACGCTAGGGCAAAAAAAGACCAACAGATAAACATGAACCTCACCAAAAGCCGGGGGTGATCTCAGGTGCTCTAAAGGGTAAGCAGATCATACTCCGCATAAGGCAATCGTTATGTTGCTCATGTAACTACAAACACAGTGATAAGTCTAATTCGGTAGTTCAAATTCGGATAAAAGATGACAGGGGTGTGTTTACGACAATCGGAACATAACCGTCGTCATCTGTGAAACAGATATTCCATAACGATCAACCAACTCGTGATGGCGTCCGTAAAATTTGCGAAGTGATTAAAACAATTACCAGACGATTTTACTGCTTTCAACGCATGTTTTGGGATCACCATTTATTATAAACGCATTGACGACTGGGATCAATTTAACGTAGAGCTACATATGGACGATGTGGTCATCATAAAAGGTCATTATAAAGATTGACCGAATCATTGGAGCACCACTACTACATTTAGTTAATAAATAAAGATGTAATGCATAAAATGAATGTTCAGTATCATCCCCACTCCGATTCAAACGGGAAACAATGAATTAAAGACTTGAATGACTTGGTCGTAATAAGTATGGTTTGTAATTCTAAAAAGTAACATTATTGGTATCGAAACTTATCCTTAATTCATTTAAATGTATGATTAAGGGAACAATGTTTTTCATGGTGGAGAGTAGAGGTGATATTGGATCTACTGATTTATCCTAATTAGCAAAATAAATGAAAAGGAAAGTCAATTTAATCAAAATATTTGAGACAAACAAAAATTCTCTTAATGAATATGCAAAATTAAGTACAATTTTTAATATCAAATGTATATATCTATTCAATCTAGATACATGTAATCCCAACTCGTGTATATTTTTTTACATTATTGTCCTTTGTTCTCTGGTATATAAGTGTCTCACTGGCAATCATACCACATAATTTCAAACTGGTACATATGTTTCCTCTGGGAAAGAGATGGATTGAATTAGCCAAACAACCTCTTTTCAAACCAGCATCTGCAGTTTCTCCCGTTCAAGCTTTGCACTGAAGTCACAAACATCATAAATAAAAAAAAGTTACCACGAACCAATGTGATTAAATTAATACAGCACAATCAAAGACTAAAGAACTTTATAGCACTGATAAAAATGATAGATATACTATGTGCATGAAATTGATCGAACAGAGGAGATTCATATAATTGTAGAACGCCAAGACAGTTACTTATAAAACGATTGACGAGCTCAGTGATATCCCCATTCCTTAACATGACACTGTATTTAAAAAAAAACCTTACCCTACAATCGACAATCCTCGATAGAAACTCAATGATAAATCAACAGATGAGTTGCAGTTAACAGTAAGAGCTGGTTTGACTTTTGCAATGAAAGCTGTAGTTTGCGTACATTATACAACAAATCGTTCACATTATTATAATCCTTTCAGTAATTTTAAAGGAGAATGATGCCTCGACACCCTTTACAAACTAAATTAAGAATACATTTGATGCACTGCTGAATATTATACATTTGAAACAAATGCAGAATTTGATTTTTCTAACTAGGGATGACACAAACAAGTAGCAAACAAATTATCGGGTTCCACGAGAAAGAATTTTGTGATTACATTCTATCCTAAAACGTGACCACAATATACATGAATGGGAAATACAAACTACCGTGTTACGCAATAACAGAAAGTCTTTTTTCATTTTGCCCAACATTTTGGCAAGACAGTGATTTTTTTAGGTCATATATCTCCTCTTGTATTCAGGATGCATAGATCCTATTTCAATGTTTGAAGTTTGAACGTTCCCGATGGATGTAAATCCAGAAATATCCCCGCATGCACCAAATTTAGAAAGTGTTATTTTCATTTGAGTGTTTCAACCTCGCCATTACTTTCGAACCAAATTATTTGCGAAACCTATGCTATTTGATCGATGAAATTAAGTCCAATTATATCGTACTAATATTTTGTATATCAAATACTAGTAATCTGAAAGTAAGAAGTTAATGCTGAAAATATGTAATGCATGCATCAATCAGCATTCAAGTATGAAAAACAACAACAAACAACGAAAAAAGCTTACTGTGAATGACGCTTAAAGTACTTATATATTTTGGCCCTGAAAGTTTACACATTATTCATTTAAATATCACACTGAAGACAAAGCAATTGGTAAAATGAATATATAGTCAACAAATAAGCAATTGAATAATAAACTAAATTAACTAATAAACAAACGGTCTACCTGGTATGTGTTTCGAGTTCAGTTTATGTTATAATTTTTGTTTTTACGTTGGGGTCGTCTTATTTTAACTTTCAACTTTTGCACGGCGGATAAAACGACTGGTACATAAAAATCACATATCTTATCCTTTTGTGTAGTTCACAACCAATATACAAGATTCATCAAATCATCTAAAAAGTCCTTTTTTTATACTAACAAAGGTATTCAAAAACATGCTGTACACTTAAAAGATGGCCAGATCAGTTACCGGTTCTACTCCCTATTTATTTTCTCTATACAAAAGGTATTCCTTCAAAAATTAGTGAATCTGTTTAACAATTTTTTTACGGATCTAGGAGTCATAATATGCAGATGAAACGTGCATATGGCGTACTAAATCATAAGCTTGGTACCTTTGAGGAGTTTTTACATCTCCAGAATAACACTAGGTGTATTTTTCCATTTGAATTTTCTTTGCTCTTCCAATTTTGCAAGGGATGTATTACTGAGATATAAAACCTTTGAAAAATAAGTAGGTGTACATCTTATTGCAAACTACCTCAGGTTTTTAAAAATGCATAACAATCGTGACTTAAATTCGGCACATTGAACACACTGCTTGTAGACTTTAACCACTGAGTTTACAAAAATTGTATGTGATCAGATACTAGTAGAGTATCTTATTGATATAAATACTGCTAGTATTCGTGGTTTGTCGTTATTGTTTAAAGAAATACAACGGAATACAGACAAGAAATTGAAAACATTAAATCTAATATAGGAATAGATTTCAAAGTTTTCTATAATAAATTGCACAAACCCTTGAAAAATCGAGAACCTGCTTGTTAACAGACTACGGTACTGTAGTTTTGGTAACATCATTTCTTGTGCAGATTTAAACAAGTCTTGAAGACATCATTTAATCTGATATTAACATGTGTGAATATATCAAAACATCATTAATTTTTGTTCATAGTTGCTGTTACTAGAAAAAGTTGATTATGGTGTATCATCATCTGATATGTTACTTCGTCGTATTTAGCGGCTTATATTCCACAATAATAAGTGCGGACAACACATATTTCTGTAAAATCATTCATCTGATACTATTAAAGAAAGAGAAAGGCGAAAGATACAAAAGGGACATTCAAAGTCGAAAATGAAAAGACAAAAGAGGGTATACAAAACACAACATAAGAAACTGAAGATTTAGCAACAAGAACCCCACCAAAAAACCGTGGGTGATCTCAGGTACTCTGATAATTTTGAAATATTAGAAATCTAAATACACAATATTTGAGAGCATTAAAGGTTAAAACAATTACCCATAAAAAACAATATCTTTTAGGCCAACATTCCCCAGAGGTGTTACAATGTTTGTACCATTACAACTTTTCGAAATTGAAAAGTTTCGACCGATATCAATCTTGTCTCTTTCCAAACTAAAAGGAAGGAGAAGATTCTAGGGGGCAATAAAAAACCATAAGTCTGATAAAAAAACAGACAACACCATGGCCACGAAACAAATTACTATAAGACAAAACACTAAACAGAAAATAAAAAATTAGCCACGTGAGTCCCACCAAAACCGATGGTGAACTTATATGCTCTGGAAGAGTCAGCAGTAGCTGCTTCAATGAAATTATGCGGCTATGGTGTTAAATCAATTCTATTCTGTCTGATTATGTACAACAACAAAAATCACGCAATACAAAAATATATATACTTTCCATGGGACCCTGAAGATAATATTAAACTTACCTCTACCTCTTTTGATACCAAACATGTCAGTTGAATCCAACACACCGCCATGTGTAATAGTAAACAAACGTCTAGAAGCTATCTTATTTACCTCCTCCATAATTTTGACGTTGACTGGAACATTCTATAATGAAGTCGATAAATCATATTTTTGCAGTAACAATTTTTTTCGTAATGCATGATTATAGTTTCATACCATGGACTGACGGTTGGACACTTGTCAAAAACAAGAAGATCAAAGAAGCCAGGGCCCGTATGACACTTGTCAAAAACAAGAAGATCAAAGAAGCCAAGGCCCGTATGCATAAAACATCTTAACTTAAGTGTTCCTTAAACTTAGATTTCACTACGAATTCGCTTAGTTAAGTAAAATTCTTAAGTCGTATGCATAAAATTACTTAAGTCTTCACTTAACTAAGGAATACTTAAATCGGAACCTTTCTCTAATTACCGTATGATATATATTACATGTAGCTCATCGCATGTACTCATCCGTGTAAAAGTTTGTTATGATTATTTACATTGAATGATCAATACATACTTTATAAAGAGCTGGGTTTAAATTGATGATGGTATGTAAAACAATTCTATAATACGCAACAAAGTAAAATGTTGAAACAGATAACAAATTGGCGCATAAGAGAAAAGGTTGACGTTTTGATGGATGAGCACGGGAAGAAAAAAAATATTTGTAATCCAAAACTTCCCCCTACTTAATCTTTTATTCATCTTTTATGGGTGCTGCTGGATGGAGGGGCTGTTTATCTTCTGGACACAAGAAAATATTTTTAACTCTAACAATACATAATAAAGGTTTCAATGGTGTAGCACCAGTGTAGCATTGTAAGCATATGTTTACAAATAATTAAAAAAACACCTTTTTTTCAATAAGAACTTTACTATAATCGTTCAGCTTCGTTGGGCTGCCGACCCCCCTTACAGACCCCCTGCTTACAATTTCTTTTTGGATTTCAAAAAATCTATTTCGATTTTTAGTTTTTTATCACTTGCCTTTTACAACAATAAAAAAGGGGTAGGATCAAATTTTCCATGAATTCATATAAAAACAAGGGCATTTTTCAAAAGTCCTACAATCTTTACAAAAACACGCATTATTAGATTCATATGTTTACGGTAAGGTATTATTAACATCTTAGCGTTCTTCCGAATATATATATGGAAAGTTAACAATGCCTAAAGATGACTCAAAACTGCATGCATTCTTGACAAATTTGAGCAATTATCTAAAAATGGCGAGAAGGACAATTCTATTGGAAGTGATTACTAATTTTTTTTTCAGATACAATAATTTATTTAGGTAAAAGTCTTCTCTCTATGCAAAATTTGAAATTTGCAATATTTTTGTTAACAGCAATATATCACTGAATATATAAGGAAATATGAAAAATAATTAAATGTGGTTTAGGTATCATAAATACGTTATATAAACTTCGAATTCCATGGGGTAGGTCTTAAAACTTCCAGATTTTGTCTAAGTAAGTGAAACAAATTCAGGGGAAATTTGCCCTACATCTTTAGAATAAAACTAAATAATTGAAAATTCAAACTTTTCTGATTGGGTTCCGTTAATATATCCTCCAGAACTAGAAATTAAAGAAACACCAGACACGGCTTCCTCCGCCTCATTTTAGACTTATATCTTGAATGTGACATAAGCGGTCATCTCAGTGCCAGAATCTATGACAAACGAGACGATTTTAATTTTGAAATTATCAATTTCCCCACCTTAGTAGCAATATACCAACTTCACCTGTATATGGGATATACATTTCCTTACTCATTCGGTATTCAAGAGCTGGCAGCTGCTACTCAGACTTTATAAAACGTCACCAGTGTCTGAGCAGAAAGTTGATGAACCAAGGTTATGTCAAAGAAAGTCTCGTCCTTTTTGTAAAAAAAGTTCATCGGAAGATACCAAGACCTTGTTGATAAATATTCTGTATCAACTTCACAAATAATACACGATGGTCTTGAAGTATAGATTCTAGGTACTGACGTTGTTTATTATCTTAATTACGTGTAATATAATTATCTTTTATTTGTCAATGTAAATTATTTACTTTACTGTTTAGTCCAATTTTGGTATTATCCTCTTGGCGTGGCTTGGTACTTATACAACCCGGCATTGTGTTATTGTGCAATCGTCATTTTTTGTATTCTTGTCTTTCATTTTTGCTTATGTGCTTTGTCTATATGCCATTTTGTTTTTCTTTGTTGACATATTTGTTTGTTTTTATAGTGATTAAGATTATAACACAATGTTGACTGCTGTACCCCTATTTTTGACATTTTTACCTTTTATGTCTGTTTGTTTTGTTCACACATCGTTGTCAATATAATGGAATTTTATGCGACTGTCATACAAGTGAGAGGTTAAGCTAGCTATAAAACCAGGTTCAATCCACCATTTCCTACATAAGGAAATGCCTGTACCAAGTCAGGAATATGACAGTTGTTTTCCATTCGTTTGATGTGTCTGGGCTTTTAATTTTGCCATTTGATAAGGTACCTATCGTTTTGAATTTTCCTTGGAGTTCGGTATTTTTGTTATTTTACTTCTTGGACATTTTTTTCTAATTTACAAGTAACAAAAACATATATCTGATATCTATATTTGATATCAAAATCAAATTGTACTGGCATGTATGAATATATGGAAACATCAGAAAAACTTTTGGTTAGATATATCAGAGTGGCGGAAAATCCAAAAAAGATAGGAAAATATACAAAATTTTCATTATTTGTATCATGACTCATATTATTTGTCGTATCCAGTAATAAAATAGAATTTTAAGAATAAAAACTAAAGAAAACGGGTTCCTTTAGAATATGTTTCAGCAAAGTCTTTAAATAGTTGTAGTTATTCTGTTGGAGAAAGTGCAATGCTATACCTCAAGACTCAGGTGAGTTAAGTTACTCCTCGGACTTGAAATTTCGTGTAAAAGATTCTGTATCCCATCAACAGGTAATGGGTTGTCTCCAAGCTACAACACATAAGAAATGGAATTGGCAAGATGTCAGTATTGGCAAACATAATAATGTTGATGTGTTGTTCAGACAGCTTCCTTTATTCATGCACTAAACTGTTGGTTTTTTTTTAAATTTAATATATATATATATGAAAAGTACGGATTTTAAGCGTTTCAGTTTGAAGGCATTTATTTCAATTTAACTTGTAGGCGTTTACATAACTTGAATTTGGTATGATATTTAGTGCGGAAATGTCAGAAAAACACGGATATCCTCTGCAGGTATTTTTAAAACCGTATAAACAGTAAAATTACTTCAGATATTCAGTCGGAAAAAAGGTATCCTGTATCAACGCTTAAGCATTAGGATATCATGAAACTGTTTAAAATTTATTTATATAAATAGAATCAAGATCATTGTTGTTTGCGACATATAGCAGAGGTATATGATGATAAATCAAAAATTTTCAAAATAGATATTTTATAATTTTACAAAACTATATATCCTTTTACAGTGCTTTGTTGGATAAAATGTCCAATGGATGCATGAATTAATAATGATAATAAAAACAGCATACTTTGAGTATCCTAAGAACATTGTTCTTTCGTAGTCCTCTGGTAAGATATACTAGACCGTCCCAGTTGATACGATTATTGGATAGATCAATACACTTCAGAGACATATTTTCTTTGAATACATTCTCCAAAGCCAAGCTTCCCTCTATACCAAAGCCGTTCCAGGATAAATTGAAATTTACAATTGAAGAGTTTTCCTTGAAAATTGAAATATACTGAATTATTGGTCAATGAGTGTCATTATTTTCAAAGCAAAGTGTAATCATACAGATATTATAAAGTTGACAAAAGGCCAAACAAATAAAAAATAAAGTGAATCTCAGAGACGACAAGCATGATAGATCTACTCATTTCCTTATCTGATAAATAACAAAATACTGATATTAACCAATGGAAAATATGACGGTTGTCTTTGTAGATTATAAAATGGCCAACGCTTAATTTGTTGTGTTTTTATACATGTGGGCATGTTTTTGATATGTTGTGGTTTTCTGAGTTATATTTGATATTTAATACGTCCTCATAACAACAGGCTTCATCGATTTGCTTTCATTTGTCTTAAAGCTTTTAAGATTATATGAAAATCAAACGTCATATTTTATGTTGATTTCATGTTTTTAATCCTTAATTCATCTATTTATTAAACACGATTCAGTTCTGTAGCGTATATTTTGTGTTATATGACTGTAAAGCTTTTGACCTCTAGTGTAGATGTATATGAAGCCTAGTTGAATGCAACACAAACAATATCTCGATGGTCTTTTAGATCCCCCCCCCCCCCCCCCCCCCCCCCACAGCATTAGTTACATATATAAATAAGTGTATTTCAGCAGTACTGGTAATTGGTCAACGAATAATTAATTTTTAAAATGAAATTGTCAAATACTGAAAAAAGTACCTGTAAACCTTTACATATTGCTAGAGCTCCCATGCGTCTAATATGATTCCAACTCAAGTCTAATACTTCTAGTGTATCATTTATTGCTGAAACAATACAAATATAACATGAAAAAAGAAGCAGAATAATTTGAACAATAATTATGATACTACAAAAGGATCAGTGGGATATATGTCAATCAGACAAAAAACCATAAATATAGATTATACCACTACATCGAGTGTAAAACGATATTTCAATATTCAAGACAGTTGAATTTTCAAATTTAAAACGTGTCACTGGCTAAACGTTTTAGATATTAAACATTTAACTGTGGAGAAATTTTATACAAGTATTGCACGAGTTTTGCTGATAAAATCTGTTTCTCTAATGATTTTTAGACAATATGTAGAACAATAGAACATAGGGGTAAAATTCAAGTTTTGTCTATTATTTTGAAAACTGTTATGAATAGAGAAAATCTGACAGTGGCAGAAATGTTCAGAATGTTGAGCTCTACCAATTGTTTATATACGTCAAAACTGTCAGACGACTTCTTATAGGAGTTATTGCCCTTAAATGACAAATTTTATTATTTTTTTCATTTTTGCCTATTATCTTGAAAACTATAATATTGTGGATTCATCATTATTCGTTGGATACAAATTTTCGTGAAATTCATCGGTATAGGTAAACCATGAATTTAAATGTTAAAAGAACTACAAATTTTATATATGCTGGTATGCAGATTTGTCAAAATCACGAAATTAAATATACACGAAAATGCAACTTTTCCTCAATCCACGAAAATCGGTTTTCAATAACATTAGTGTGCGCGTTGCATCCTTAAATTGAAACATTATTATATTGTAGAAAATGCTCCAAGTAGTTCTTTAAATACTTACAAATCGCTCTTCCGATATGTTGTGCCCCAGTAACGCCTATGTCGTTGTGACTTAGGTTCATCCATATTATGGAAATGTTAGACTATAAAATATTAAACAAATAAAATATGTTATCACAAAATGTTTAATAATCGTTTTGTATACATATTTGTTACTTCAGTCTCATAATAACAGGACGGTTTCAATAGTCCTATAAATTAAACATTTATTAAAACATATATTTTGTTAACTTACCTTGAATAGTAAGATTTAAAAAAATGGCTAAATCACGGACTCAAAAGAGCTCAAAAGTGGTGTATACTCAAACAGTTTAGAGAATACAATTTAAAAGTATATGAAACACGTTTGATGGTAAATATGATAGGGAAATGAATGCTGGCAACAAATGTAAAGAATGTAAAAATTTAAATGAGATGACTAAATACGTGTTATTGAAAAAAAACCTATTTCCTAAAAGTAAGTAAATCTGCAAAATATTTTACTTACTCTTATTGCTAAACCTAAATGCTTTGCTCCGTCGTCACCAAACTTTGTACCTATATGTTGAAAATAAATTGATGTAACCATTAACATTTAGTAACGTTAAAACGGTATTTAACACCGGTATGTTGTGTTTTGAACCAATGTGCTAAAATCTTAAATTCTTGTTCCTAAATAAATACAATTTTAAAAATATGATAACATTTTTATATATTTGAACAAATTGGGAGGTGTGGAAAATACAAGTATGTCAATATGACAACAACCAAACAACACTATGTATACAAACCAAGACATCTAGACGTTAACAAATACGTTTCTTTCTATCGAGAAATAGGTCAGAGAAAATAATTCGTACGTATGTTTTGAAACCGGCGAGCATGATTCTTCTCAAGAGTCATCATACCATTATGACTCCCACAACACATACCCTAGCTAGAATTCCTCTCTAACCACCGTTGGTTTTTTAGTTGGGCGCCAAATGAAACCGGAGAGCATGCTTCTTCTTACAAAATCATCTTTGTCTCCTCCGGGAATCCAACCCAGGACCTCTGTGTTACAAGGCAGTGCGTATACCGACTGAGCTAAAGAAGTACTTCCTTAGATCAACCGCTTACGACTGACTAAGTATCTACTAATGAAGGGAAGCAATCCCGTCACAGTTTTAACGTTAGAAATTTATTTATTTCATCACCTTGCTGCAGCATTTTCCAAACCGGTTCATGGTCATGACATTTTGTTATCACTATTTTTCAATTAAGAAATAAGGAGATGTTGTATGATTGCAAATTACCCTTAAAGACCAAAGGACAAAGTTTTGAACTATAATTACACTTTAACAGTGAGCAAAACTCATACCATGTAGTAAGCTATAAAAGGCACTGGCAAAATATAACACTTTAAAAGAGAAAAAAACAAACGGCCTAATTTAGAATAAATTAGAAACAAAAATCAACAATGGCAGACAACAGCCAATAGAGTCAATGGATTACAGGGTTCGTGTCTAGGATAGACACAAAAAGAATGCGGCGTGGTCAAACACGTTTTTAAGAGGTCAAAGGTCCATATTTTCTGAACGATGGAATTTAGGCGCATTGATAGGACATTTTAGCGAAAACAAATCGGACGTATTAACGCCAAAGTTTAGCCCATTTAGCGAAAATTGAAAATAGAAATGCCCATTTTAGCGAAAGTAATTTATTCATTGTAGAATAATGAGTTTTAATAGTACCAAGAAAGTACAACATAAAAATACAGCAATAAAAGTATAAAAAAATAACTTAAATGTTTAATTGTCAATTTATGTACCAATGAACGTACGTTATTGGGTCTTGTTATACCCCCTGTACAAGATTGTTCATAATATAGCGATAGGAACTAATCCTTCTCTGCGTACTCCATTGATTGAAGAGCAGAATCATAAATACATCTGAATTGTTAAATGTTGTTGTTTGTTATTTGATGATAGTATCCAGAAGGCGAAAATTGCTAGTTGACGTTAGCCATCACAGGTCGCACTTTTATTTCCTCTGTTTGTTTCAACAGCATTTATTTCCATGATTAGTTTTCCTACCGAAAGTCGGTAGTTCTCTCCGCGCACTCCGGCTTCCTCCTCCAATAAAAAACTGACCGCAACGAAAATAGCACGATAGTGCTGAAAATTGCGTTTAACACCAATCAATCAATCAATATTTCCATGAGCAATCAAATTGTAAATGCAAACGACTTAAACATTACCCAGCAAAATTTCGCCAAAATGAGCTCTCGAAAATACAGGTGATCAGATTAATTCGGCGCTAAAATGGGATCTAAAGTCTGCGCTAAAATGTCCCCTAGTAGATTTAATCTCTAAATTGTTCTGCACCCTACCTGGGACAGTGGTGTTACAACACATAGGAATACGCTGCTAAAAGTTTATGGCTATTTTCCAAACTTGATCATAGCATGACGTTTCATATTGCTATTTTCCAAACATGTTAATGGTAATCACATTTGGTATAGATATTTTCCAAACCTGTTCATAGCAATGGCCTTTGGTATCGTATTTTCAAAACCTGTTAAAGGCAATGACATTTCATATCGATATTTACAAAACCTTTTTCGTGGAAATGACATTTAGTATCAATATTTTTCTAACCTGTTCAAAGCAATGACAATTGGTAACGATATTTTCAAAACCTTCTCAAGGCAATGACATTTGGTATCTCCTTTTCAGAACCATCTCATAGCAATGACATTTGGTATCTCTTTTTCAGAACTATATCATAGCAATGACATTTGGTATCTCTATTTCCAAACCTTTTCATATCTATGACATTTTATATCTATATTATCCAAACCTGGTCATCATAATGGCATTTGGAAACAATATTTTCCTAGCCTGTCCATGGCATTGACAATTGGTATCATATTTTCCAAACATTTTCGTAGCAATGATATATGGTATCGTTATATATAATATTCATTTTACAACTGATGTTTCCCTCACCTGATAAATTCAGATGTGTTAGCCATGCGTTGCTACTTATAGCTTCTTTCAACATTCCAGCACAGTTAACCGTCATTCTGTTGTTTGAAAGACTCTGTAAAAATAGTTGAATATGCGATAATGGTCTAGCATATTTAAGACAAACACGTTATGAAACAATATGTTTAATCATACATAAAAATATAAGACAGCACAGCAGACAACACGAACAACACGATGATTCGTGGATAAAAACATTCAAACAAAACCGATAAGGAAATGGTTCACATAGCCTGACCTGGATAAGGTCACAATGTGGTAAACAAACATATTGATAATAACATTAAAATATAATAGAATTCTTCTGGGCAATGAAGGTACATGTATATGTACAATGAAAGAGGTATTGTTTCTAGGTCGACATTTTAATGTTTAATTCCATTATGTAGAACTTGATATGCATTTGCATACTATTTGAAACCCTGTTATAACTTCCCTAGTAGTCTGTCGGTATTTAAAACCTTGCATAGCGGTTACAGTTACAAGACAGTAGTCATTTAAAAGTGTGTAATACTTTCAGCATTATTTTCGCCACTAGCAACTGGGTATTTAAAGAGTTGTAGAATCCATATACTACCCTTATGAATTGTATACATGTATAGCAGTTTTCAAATTTAACGTATAAACTAGTATGTCTTACCAAGCTAGATATAACATTATTGTAATTCAGTAGTTCTATTACATGCAACATTCCATCTTCACTCATTCGGTTGTCCTCTAAATCGACACTTTCAACCCTACTGTTATGCTAAAATGTAGAATTATTTCAAATAATTACAGATGGTAAGAAATATTTGCATGTAATGATTGTTTTTTTATTGTAAAATTATTTTTTTTTCTTTTGTTATGCATTTCAGTTTTAATATATAATATTAACAACGCACGTTTTTCCCACATTTTATATTTAAGTAACTTTCATTAGGACAAGTCTTTGGCATGCAACACTTTCACAACCATTACAATAAATATGGATCTGAACATTGGTATTTGTGCTGAAAAGTTTGCACAGATTTGTTTAAATATAGTCCTGTTTGGATCAGAAGGAATTTCAGATACAGGACCCGTTGATTCTTTCAACTTGATTAAGTGTGATTCTGTGGATACTAGATGTTTAACTGGTATGAATCACGCTTTTCTGTTCCATACTAAGTGCTGAAATAGATTTCGTGGTAAACAGTACCATTATATATGCACTGAAGATTCTCTGAAACTTTCTAGAGTAGACAAATGTTGAAGGGACTGTAAAAGAATAGGTGGACATTGCAATCTCTTTTTTATTCCGACTCACTTTGTTGAAAATAGAAAATTGAATCAGCTGATAAAATCTAAAGTAGTTAAAAAAGATCATCTGACCAGTGTTTGAGTACAATTTGTCATAATGACTTAATATTATATTAATACTAGGTACACATGTATCACTAGTATGTACTTCTAAATCCTGTTCTAGATTCCTTGGTCTGCGATCATTTTAGAGTGGAAACGCCTGTCTGATACTATCAGACGATTCTATAGTATGCAAGATAATTCCCATTTGCTTGTTTCTTTCGTGTTCTACTTAATTAATTACAGTAGAAATCAAAGGTTATACTAGTACATTATGGTTTGAAATAAGAAAGTAGCATGGCGTTGGATCTCTATAATACATAATCATATGATGGATTTCCTTATCTTATTCGAATCTAACTATTTTTGTGGCATTTTTTCATTAGTAGCTTACCGGACATCATGATTGAACTGCATTTTTGGCAATGTAATTTACTCCTCCGATGATTAAGGTTCGGATTTTACATTCAGAATTTTTATTGAAATAGAGTTTGTATAGGGGCTGGTAGTACTGGTATTAAGGCCTTAATTTGTGATTTTCAATTATATTGCACGACAAGAAATAAAGGATTGGATTAGTTCTATTTACTTTTTGACAAAACAATATGGAACGTGCTTGGTCTCATTTTCATAACACTGTGCCCAATTACAGGCCTTCATCAATAGAATTGAACACTGGATTGAATTATGAAGTAAAGGAAGTGTGTGATATTCATCAATGTGAAAGGGGCAACATACATTCTTCGAAAATGGACTAGTTTCTATATAATATGTCAAGTTCTAAATCGTTTCGAGTCTATAAAAAAAATTTAAAGATGCGTCATCAACACCCAACTGTCAAAATGACTAAGGGAGCTACCATATGATTTTTAGGGGGGGGGGGGGCTAGGATGAAATTTGAAAAAAAGGCAGGACAGGAGTTTTGAGTTAAAAAAAAGGCAGGATGAGCAACTTGGCAAAAAAATAGGCAGGACCGAATAGAGTGAAAAATTAAAAGGCAGGACAGAGATTACAACTAAAAAATAAATGCAGGACAAAATTTTTCATCCTAGCCCCCACCCCACATAAAAATCAAATGGTAGCTCCCTAAACATATATGACATACGGCACCAGCTATCAGGTCGTTTACAGTATATTTATTCCCTATCATAATTTAAGATACTGGGTACATCGGAGGTTGGGATGCAAGTGGCCCACTTCTTAAATGGGCGAAAAATAAATTCTTTGATATTTCTAACTCATTCTTACAATCCCGACATTTTTACTACACAAACTGACCCTACCCCTGACCCTTCTAGATAAAAAAAAATTAGTTCCGACAGTGAGAAGTTTCATGACATAATACTTGAAGTTATATGCAGTACCAAAATACATACCAGAAGGCCGTACGCCAAAGCAATGACATCGTTAGTGTTAAGTCCAACATACTGAACGCTTATTTCATGAGTCTGTAATTGTTCAAATATTTTACGAATCGGAGGATTTACTAATTGTTCACATGCATGTATATAAGAATAATGTCCAATGTCTAAATCTTCTTTCGCTTCATCTTCTGATTCTCCTTCGTCTATAAAATATACATAAAAAAAATATCATTAGTTGTATAATTATGAATTTCTTCGTTTTTATCTAATGTAGGAATGTATGTGGTTGTCTACCCTGGCTAAATGTACTTTAATATAAACAAAAATTAGAAAATATATATAATACCAAAAGTGGTTTTTAATAACCGGTTTTACTGTCAATTTAAAAACGGTTTCAAATTAAGAAATAAATCAAACACTATTTCCCTCTAACAGAAAACGGATATTAAAAACATATTGACCCGAACCTCACTTAAATCCGGCGAAATCTTGGGTGCTCTTCAAGATTTCATTTTGGATATCCATGTATGCACATGGTATACACTGTTTTAGCCAATAGTTATAAAGTCCATCGATACTTTTAAATCGAGAATAGAGACAAGTAAAAATGCTACTAACGAAAAGTAGACAGATTATTATCTATGGTGACTAAACGTTTAATCAGCTCAAATATTCGCAAAAAGCAAAGGTTTCACACTCAGTATTAGCTTCGCATCATGAAACTTTTTATAAGAGCTTGAAATGTATCACTTTACAAAATTAACATTATGATTGACGTCCAAATGATGTGGCTAATATAACAATTGGTTTTATTTGCTGGAATGATAATTTGGTACTTGTTACGGAGACAAGAAATAAGATAGACAGCAGATCATAATTCGAATAAATGAAAATAACAGAAAGTGTATTCGAGATTCTGCCGATGAATGTATATTTTATATCGCTTTAAATACACATTGTTCGATAAGCGCTGATAATCAAAATTCATAAATTATACTACGCATTTCTGTTGCTTAATCTGTATTATATTTTAATTTTTGTGTGAAACTCCTAAGGGGTTCAAGTCTATTCATCCGAGAGTTTTGGTAGCTTCTATTGGCCATTCATATATCCTCGGATACAAGATTCTCGGAAAGACTCGAAAAATTTTGATCATTTATACACAGTTATCTATGTCTTTGATACGGTCCCTCGATGGATATGCTACCGCGTGACATTGTATATTTCAACAATTAAAGTTTATTTATAGATCGGAAAGTTATAAAGTTAAAGACTAAATTGTAGTAAAAAACATTTATATATTCCAAACTATTTGCCTTTTGACAGAACATATGCGTTTTAATGTAAAAGTTTATTTTAAAATATCAAATACGATCATGATAACGCAGTTAAACATGTTTTGAGACGGTCCATGTATGCGTTGTGTGTGTAGCATTTAATAGAACGTGCTATTGTGCAAAGTGACAATAAACAGTTTAACTTGGGAATAGAAATTCAATACTGACAATATTATTATGTCCCAGAATAAACCCATTAATTCTGAACATTTACCACGTGATATTTTGCATTTCTATCATAGCCTGAGTAAATATCGGAAAGCAAGGATTTGTGTAGTCTCACTTTACAAATCATTGCGGAAAGCAAGAAGAAACTCAAAAAAACGATATTTCTGTTAAAAATATTTATCTCAGATCGGAAGGCAGAAAAAAATAAACAAAACAATATTTTGTCAAAATTATTTAATATCATACTAACAGATACTAACAGACCAAGGAAATGTTTATTGAAATTATGCAGTTTTAACTGATTTATCATTTATAGAATATGATTGGTATCTCTGGGTTGATATAGTGATAAATTATGTCTCACAGGTTTTAACAGTGATTACATGTATACTAATCATAATTATGCAACATGTGAGCACCAAGCGAAGGATGCACATAAATAAATTAGTATCTAAACTGTAGTTTAAAAAAATAGTTGCCTGGTTTTATTCACAATGATTTCAAATCCTTGCATCTCACTGAAAAAAAGAATATTTTTACAATAATCAATAATCATGTATTTACTACATAAATTATTTTATACCGCTCTAGTCTGGTTTTGTAAGTATCTGTTTATATTTTGTATAACAATATATATTACATAAAATGAAAAGTTCGAATTGAAGAAGAGATTAATTTGTTGATAAAAAATGTCTATCAGTTGAATACTTGATTCGAATTTTCGGGAAAGTTACTGACAAGAATGTATGTTACTAGTAATTTAATTTCTATTCTTTTTTTTTTAATAGTCAAATCTTATAGTATCTAAATCTTTGCAATATGGTGCGATTTTGAAGCATTGTGTTGACCAGCTATCCTACACACGTCTTCGTACTTGTACATTATATTACACTTTGTTCACACGATTTGGATTTGACAACAATATCGATCAGTTTGCAATGAATCTGGAGTCAAACAACTTTAGGAAGGTAGTTGGACATCTGAATTCATCTGACATTATATTTGAGCCTGGAATAAATATACATAATAACGCAAATGTATATTCTAATCCAGAATATCAGTGATTATGCCTATCATCTTAATTCAGGACACGGCAGTAAGAGCTTGACATGTGACTTTGAATAACGGTCATCATTAAGGTATTCTGACCTCTAGTTGTTTCTCTTTTTTTTTCTTTTTTTTTTCAGTGATTATCCTATTGACTTTAAAAATGTTAAACAAACATATTCTTTTATATAAATTGGTTCTTTTGAGAGCATGCGCAGGTATTCAGAAAATCACTTCTTAAATCAAGATATTCTTCAAAATTATGGTTTATCTGTAGAATATTTTGATTGATTTAAGTAACGTCACGAAATCCATAAAATTTGAGATGTTTTATGAGACTAAAACAATTCTTAGTATATAAGAGGTCCTCATGAAGATTGTGTGTTACTCTCAAGAATAAAATATAAGAAACCTTCTTAAGTTGCATGACACAGAGTTACACTTCACTTCAAATGGAAAATTGACTTCCAAATTTCTCCATACCACCTCTACCATGAGTAAAGACAGCTTCAGTAATGAGTATAAAAATAATTGAAAGCATCCAGGAAACAGAATATGAATATATGTAGGATAAAACATATTCATGCAGGTTATGAAAGCAAATTGAGTGCTGAAATTTATATTGCGATTGGTCTGTATAATTTGCTTTAGACATCCAGTTTCAAAACATTGGGAATTGCAAAAGGATTAGGATACGAAAAAGAAAAAGTGATGTACACTCCCAAGTAATAAAAAAAATAGTCAAGCCTTAAAAGGTAAATTCAAATGGTAGCTGTAACTGTCTACACTTTTCTATTTACAAATAAAATAAAACAGTGCTTTTAATTGACTTGTGCAGAAATCTTCAAACATTACGTATTTTCAATAAAGGTACAACAAATTATATCTTAACATCATCATTACCTTATTATATTCACATTAAATTATTTTAAATTCGGCAAAAGCAAAAAATTCAGCAACACTTTTGTTGATGACACGCAGTCTGGGGTTCACGAATTGCTTTTCTTTTTTTTAAAGAAAGCAACTTCTTTGTATTGACGTTATACTATGTGTTCTAAGACTGTTTGACAACATATTACCAGTCGTCACTTATTTGAATAGTATACGAAATGACCCAAGCTACGGAACCGTAGCTTGAAATGACCCGTGCATACATAATATAAAAATAAGAAGATGATTAATTAATTGTTATAACATTTCTGATTAATATATGAAATTGAAGATACATGAAACGTAAATCAAATACATTTAATCTCCAAGCAATACACAATTCAGATATATACTCCTCGGGTAAATAAACATTTAAAATGAAATGTCAAGATTAATAATCTTTTAATCTTAATTGTCGTCATTTTAAAAACATTTAATGAAAATATGACTAATTTCTTTTTAAATCAAAACAAGCAATAAATTTGTTAAATTAGATAATTGGTTTTTTTTTTAAATACCAAATAGCTGGTGTAAGAATTAGTTGTAGGTCTTATGGAACTTTTATAATACTATAAATTGACTTTCTTACAAAATTTTACTGGAATGTATTCCTGTTGAAGTAATGTTTTGTTTGTTGAAAATGCCATCAACTTTCGAATTTCCATCGCTGTGACAGGACTCGCAAGATTTTGGACACGATCTCGTTTTCTCGCTGTTTTCACTATCTTATTGTTCGCCTTTTCCTGTTTGGCTCTGAAAATAGAACCATCTTCGTTCAAAATATCGAACTTCTTTTTCCCCCTTTTAGATTTTTGAATACTAGCGACTACTTGTCTTTCGAAACGATCGTCAAATTCCTTTTGTATTTCCTTAGATTTACGTTTGTGTTTCGAATGTCCTCGAATTAAACGAGTTGATTCATTCTTTAAGTTTCGTAGATTGTAAAGGCTTGGAAACTGCACATATTCCAATTTGTTTACAGACGTTTGAACTGATTTGTCCTCAAACTTTGAACGTCTTGTGTCAACTTCTTTTCTGTCTACCGGAGTAAATGTACTGGTATTGTCAATACCCGAAGTGCATATGTCTCTATTCAGAATAAATTTGTGTTTTGAAGTATAATTATAACTTCCATTTGTTGTATGTGGTGTTTGTTGCTTATCTCTATTAATAGCTTTAGATCCAGCTTTTTCTTTTTCACCAATCACAAAATTTGAAATCTTAGAATACTGATTGGAATATGTAAATTCTCTAGATTGACTTTTATTTCTTTTACTCCGGTTTTTACTTTTGACACCACTGTTCTTCAATATAACATTCAAACATGGTGTTTGTTCGGGCTTTGATCTGATTATGTCATTCTTCATAACATCACCGTCTTTATAATAGAATTTGTTGAAAAACTGATTATTTGTTACGTTCTGTCGATTTAAAGCTAATTTATTCATAACATAAGTTTTGCCTGTAGCTGAACGTTTAAAATCGCCAGTTTTGTGTTTAGGACGGTCAGGTGTTTGACTACGGTCACTTAAGTTTATGGTCTCAATAAGTTGAGGATTGAAACATGTTGTAACATCATTCATGATAATTGAATTCGATTCCGGTGTGTTAGTATTAGTATGGACAATATCATTAATGGTGGAGTTGGAAGTGAATATTTTCTGTTTGCTATCACTCTCTTTTATAGATAGTTCTGTATTTGTTCTGTTTATACATATTTT